GCCCCATGGTCCGAGTCATACTGCTGTACTTCCTGTGTCCACACTTTCACTTCGGAACAGCGTCAAGTGGTGACGATTACATGGACGAGTATGCCATGATATCAGCTGAGTGAGTATAGTCACCTATTGGTGAAATCCGACATAGAGCATACGTAGAAATGGTTGTTGTTGGGTACAGAATGTACTTCAAAGCTACACACTCTCTCGAGAGACCCGAACAAGACAATGGCTCCAACCCCTCTCCCCTTCCTGTCTCATAGAACCAAAAGTACAGGGAGAGCTGCCAGATCTGGAAACCACTGCCCAGTTCATCGCAGACTACTTGTCAGAACCTCCCAACATATATTTAAGAGAACAAAGAGGAAGAAGAATATGTGGTTGGGATCTGAGTTTGTAATCGTGCAAAAGGGTTCAATACCTAGTTGGGAGAATCCAAGCGAAGAGTATTTTTTAAATCTTTAGTTTATGTTGTCACATAATACTACGCAATAAAACATAGTAAACACTAGTAAACGGTATGGAGTGGCGAGGTGATTATTATTCAAATTATCCGATCGAATAAATTGGCTTTTAGTTATTTTAATTGTTATTTTAATTGTATACAGTTTGAGAGCCCCTCTATTAGACAATTAGAAATATAATTTAAGAACAAAAAATGTACCGTTGTTTTTAGTAATTTTTTTTTACAAATTTGAAGAAAGTTTAATAGTTGCAGTTAACGCATTTTAACACTTACAAGAGCTTGTTTGGGCTACTATTTGTGGTGGGCCCAGGCACAAGGAACCCCTTGACGCCGTTTAGGAAGTAGACAGTTGGACATCCATGTGAAGCCCATCAAAGTTAGGATCTTTCTGTTATTGCAAGTGCTACTGTTCATCTGTGACAAGTGTAGAGATCTCGCAGTCTGGTAGTGTAGAAGTCAACTTTGTCTAGAGAACAGCTTGATGATCTTGGTTCAGATCTTGGAATGTGATCGACTAGTAGGCGCTCTTTTGTTGGTCGCCTTTTTTTTTTTCGGCTCTATTCCAATAAAACTAATTGGCTAACAGACAACAGCACGCAAAAATGAGAACAGAAGGAAGCAGAAAATCTAAAAAAGATGGAAGGAAAAAAAGAAAGGACATTTTCAAAACTAGACTTAAAACTCAACGGATGAAACATATCGGTAAATCATAAACTGTAAAGCTACTATACAGATTATTGAATATCATATTTATCGACAAAGTAACTTTTTTTTGCGGTAGTCTTGTATAATTTCAGTAAACCTTTTCGTAGAACCTGTTCTTCAGATTTTCGAATGTCTCTCATTAGGTCAATGGATAGTTGTTTTTTTTTTTTCCACTGTGAAGCGAATGTGCCTTGATCAACGAAAACGCTTTATTTCTTTTTTAATCAAAATTTCACTGATCCTGAGTAGCTATGACCTATCAAGAGGTCCACGGGACTCTTCAGTCGTGAAGATAAATAAGATAAAGACCTGGAAATTAGCAATGTTTGGAGCGATGTCGCCCAAACAGAAGTCACTCTTCCCCTCCATGCAGCTGATGTGTGCAAATGAAAGGTATTGTTACGTGCGCAGCGTAGTGGGAATGTGGACTGGTGCGAGTGCGTGTTGAAAGGTTAAAGGAAAGATTAGACAAATAGAGGAATGTAAACGAGGTTATTATTGACATTATTATTTGTTGAATCGAGATTATAAAGTTCTCATAATCTACTATTGCTGAGTCTGTTTTGGTGTATGAGTCTCATCTGCTCGTGGTCGTAACAGGAATGCTCCGATACAAATTGAGATCAGCGGCGTCGCAGGTTCTGCCAAAATGGAGTACTGCATGCTGCAAGCTGCTTAAGGGTCGCCACATCCGGATTTTTCCTCAGAGCCGACTTCCGAAGCCTTTCCCTTGTTTGGGAGGAGCCGCAATAAAGCAGAGGTACATAGTTTTCCTTCTACAAGTTGGATAACCAGCTAAGGTCAACGGTCAAGGCTTAGGCGCCAGTTGCTCGCTATTGCTCCTTATCCTGTCAGTGATAAAAGTTCCGCCGGAACTAATATCTGAATCACAAGTGAAGGCTATGAGTTGGAAGTTGTCAGAGGCTGTTTGAGAAATATGCCATTGGACTCAATTTATAAGTAGTGCATTGATTAAATCCATTGCCTCTTCCAACAATAACAGCCTTATTAAACTAGCGACAATAGCCTTTTTGAACCACCAATAACAGCCTTAGTGAACCAGCAATAGCAGCTTTAGTGAACCAGCCATGGCCGCCTTATTGAACCAGCAATAACAGCCTTTTTGAACAAGTAATAACAGCCTTAGTGAGACAGCAGCTTTAGTGAACCACAATCGCAACCTTGGTGGACCAGCAATTGCAGCCTTGCATAAATGAAAGCCGGACATTTTCAGACATTAGGACAACGCCTGTGGGGCGAGGAACTCGGTATTGAAGGGAGGGCATGACCTTTTGTCGGACGTCTGCTAACACAAACATGCGCAAGGAAAATTTCAACAAAATTCTGCTTAGAATTCGGGCTTAAGAACAAAGGTTAAGTTGACAATGTCTTTGGTTTGATATTCTTATTTTCATGAATGGAAATCAACATTGACTGAATGCTCTAATACAATGGTAGTGTATGTGTGTTTTTGTCTAATTTGGTGATGAAGCAGATATGATTAAGAAAGAAAATTTCTGATTTTAAAAAAGGTTTCAATGTGATAAATAGTATTAATGTGGTCGCCAGTGAAAATGCAATAGCGTTTTAAATTTTCTTTTTTTCCCTCAGAGACAATGATGTTTTGAAGCTGGAGTTAATGTCTAAAGAAGGGGCACCAACAACAACATCAGTATAGCAGGTTGGATGACCAACTAGTTGCATCTTCTAATATATATATATATAGGTCAAGTCTGCCAAAGTCCTGACTCTTTTGGCTTCTCCCATCTTACATTGCATGGTTTTCATTGTAAGGCAGTGTTTCCCAAACTCTGTTCCACGGAACACAAGCCTGAACAGGTGTTCCGCAAACTGCTGGAATCATTACCAAGTAGGCCAACACGTGAATAAATCTCTCTTTAAAAAAAAAAAAAAAAAAAAAAAAAAAAGTGTTCTGCTAAATACTCTGAATGTTCGAAGTGTTCAGTTAAGAAAAAATGTCTGGGAAACACTGGCTTCAGGTAATCAAAAGCAAAAGTCCTCCAAAGATGTCGACTTTTGATATTTATTTTCAGAAAATTGTTAGATGTATTTAGAATGTAGAGTAAAATAGAAAAATGGTTGAGCATAATGTAATTTAGCATTCTTAGAATTATTTTGCCTTAGTAAGAATACATCAATTTGAACATAAATAAAAACATTGACATAAATTTCATAAATTGTCCAGCTTTTTAGCGAATGTCTGTCCGTCCGTCCCGTTTAGATACCATAAACTAGAAAAGTTAGTGAAAATCCGACATCATAATATTTTAGACCATTCAAGGTTCTGATGCAACGGCTAATTTTTTCTTATCTGAAATTGAAAACTCTAAATTTTTAAATCACTTATGCAATCAGTTTTTTTTTCATTAAAATACACCACTTTTACAAATATTAACTATTAATAGTAACAAACATGGGAGGCTTTTTAGTGGGGGAGATGACTATTTACCATAATTTTTTAACACATTTATGCAAATGGTTTTAAAGCTATTGTCAAATAAATTATTTTTTTTACATTTGTATTGCTAAGTTAAGTAAGTTCTGTAATACACAATACTACGTTTACACAAAAAAAAATGTTTATTTCTTTTTAAAGAGAAAAAATCTATTTAGTATATCGGACATAATTTAAAACAACAATTAATAAGTAGTTTTTCATATTATCGCGTGAACTGCAGCATGTCGATAGCACTGTTGCTAGGGAACACTTAACAAAATGGAAAAAAAAAAAATTTACGAAATTTTTTTTTTCATGAGGATTTGAATAAGAGATTGACCCTTTACAAAACAATTAGATCAATTAGATATTCATTATAAGACATCATTTAGGCCAGGTTTACATCTTCACCTATCCTTTGGTCTGCTGGACCGCTGGGGCACCACACAAGATCAACCTTCTTTCCCCATTCTTCTCTGTCATTTGTCTTTGATAGAATTTTATTCTAATGTTCTTTCTGAAACTATTGAAACCTGCCTAGGTGGACCAATTCGGAGGCCAATTTTGAGTTTGTGTTTCCACAATAACTGTCTTTGTAACCTTGTTATTTTTAATAATAGTATAAGTCAAGAATTATCTAAGGGCTTATAACATATTTACTTTAACATAAAAGAAAACAAAACAAAAATATATCAAATTAAAGTAGTCAGCCTTTGCTATAAATTATTAGTAAAAAAAGAAAAGACTTAAAAACTAATTTTTTTAAAGGGAAAAAATCTCCATTATTGGCAGCTCTCCCTTAACTTTTTTTAGGTGTACCCCCTTTTCCTGATTTCTTTGTTAATTTTAGGTGCGATTGCTTTAAACTGAACAGATGAAACATAACAGTAAATCAGAGATTGTTAAACTATTATACAGATTAATGACTGTATTGACAAAGTGAATCTTTTTATTTTTTTTTTCAATTCTAGTCACAACTAAAAAATACATTTTAACTCTTTCTCTCGTAATTGATGATACCATCATTGATTTAACCTTATTAAATTTAATTAATGTTTAATTTTATAAACTTTACTTTCTATTATATAAAAAGAGCATGCCTTTTCCTTTAATTCCATACCAAATAAAACATTTTCTGATAACAAACGAAAAAGTTATTGATGCTTAATCATAACAGGGGAGTGAAACAGTAATGACCAAAATGAAGAATTCCGTTGAAACGTAGAAAAATAATGACAGAGAGAAAGAGTTGAAACAGAAAAGTTCAATTTTTTAACTATAAAAGAATATTATACTAGACAAATGATTCAAAGTGATACATCTGAATATATTGTACCTTTCTCATGATAAGTTCAATGAATCTTGACAATAATAATTTTATGAAACAATTATGATTATAGCCTAATTTGTTTTATAGTGGTAAAGAATGTAATAACTGTATTTGTAGTTATGTATTAAAATGACAAAAAGAGTTAAATTGCAAATCTTTGAGAATTTCATGTGTCACATCCATAGACTTAAATATATATTGTATCTAGACTTGACATAGAAATTTTAAAAGTACAAAATATGTGGTGAAAAATTTTTTTAAAGTTGAAACAAGGAGTTATTTTGTAAAGTATTTATAAGAAGTAAAGTTTAATTTTTTCAACCCTAACCTATGTAACATAGCCTATAATTTAATTTTTAGATCTAGATCTAGTAATTGAACATAAAAAATCAGACTATTCTCATCTCATAATTATTATTTTGCAATTTTTAAATACATAATTTGAAAAGATCTATGTAATCAATCTATTTAAATATATATAAGATGATTAAAATCAACAGACATGAATTATTTCGATCTAGGATTTTTTTTAAACCTTATCTCAATGGAAACTAACAGGAAATGGCATAATTTCATATATTAGAGTGAATATATAGTTCTGTGATTAATAGCCCATTCTTAAGAAAATCCGAGAAAGGATTTTGCATTATTTCTAAACTTTGAAAACTAAAGATCATTACTTTTCTAAGACAGAAAAGATTGATTGGGGCGACTTCCCTTAGAACTTGAAAAACAGTTACATACATAAAAATCTAAATATATAGATATGTGAATCAATCAATCGCGGTTTCCAGTCTAGATATAATATTTAAGTCTATGGTCACTTCTTTTTGTCATGTAAAACTGAGACATAACAAAGAAAAGTAGCTCAATGAAAGCAAGATGTAAGATACATGAATGTAGTTTATCTCCCTTTTATTGAAATGCACTAGAAGGGCAGAATGTACAATAAAATTTTTTTAAAATGTCATCAAATTTTCCATTGAATTTAGTTTTTGAGGAAAAAAAAATCATATCCCAGGACACCTCGCTCTGATCTCAATTTCCTGAATAAAGCAGGACAAATGTTGCACTTCTTATCACATCTTTGCTTGTATTATTAAAAAGTAACAAAAACAATTAAAGACATTAAAATATTGCTAATACTTGTTACATTGCAACATTACTGTATACACATTTCACATCAATACTAAAAGTAAAATTCACAGGTAGGTAGAAGAAACACAAAAAAAACTCTCTGTGTTAAAAAATAACAACAAAATTAACTAATTAAATTAAATTAAATCTGTATTTATTTATACAGCGGTGATAAAACCTTTTAGGACATTGGGCTTTTAAATATCCAATATGTGTGTTACGGATGCTACTGTCAAGGTAACATCCGAGCTAAAAATTGTAAGACCAATGGAATTGGCAGAATTTTCAATGGACGGTAAAACAGAAAATCATGGTCTGGATATATTTCCCACTTGCCATAAGTTGGGCAAGACTATTACATGATTAAAAAAATAGTATTGTAGTAATATTCCAAAATAGATTAATTGACATTTGAAAGATGAAGACTAAGAATTATTTTATTTGTCAGTATTTAAATTTTTTTTTGTAAAGATGATAATCTTGTCTAACAGGCAGGTTTTCTTATTTGGTACATAGGGAGACTTTGCTACATTAATCAATCCCAATCCGCAATGCCGTTATAAGGCCTATTATAAAAAACTGGTGAAGCTTTTATTCTCCTGTTTGATCAGAAGAGATTTAGTTTAGCATCCCAATAAACTAGTACACTTTGTTTTTTCAATATAGGCTAAAGTCAAAGTTTTAATTAAAATTATAAATGGATTATATGGATTAAAGCTGTATTGAAAGATACTTTTAAAAATCCACCTTTTCAAAGTTTTAATGCTCACTGAACCAATCACAAAAGAGAGATTATATTTCAAAAAAGAGAAAAAAAAAAAACTCAGCTCATTACATAATATTACATAAAAATTAATTGCTCTAACAAAAAAACAAAAAAATCCCATTTGGCACTCATAGAATTGAGCATTGATATCTCTTTAAGGTGAAATATCATTCCATTGGCTATATTTCATCTTGTCTTTGCCAGTTGGCACTGTCATTTCTCTGACATAGTGGGCACCTTCCCATCCTTTCCTGACCTAAACCAAATGGAGAAAAGGATGTGAAATATATATCGACAAACACACATACTTAATATACTCTACCCCACTCCATTCCTTTTCAAAAAATTTACACTAAAATAGTCCTAGAGAAGAATAAAGAAAAAAAGTATTAAGAATATCAAAGAGATATTTTAAAAATATTAATTAATATTGCCAGTCTCTTTACTTGACAACAGCATCACAATAGTCAAAGGTTGACAAAACAAGCTTGTATTACACAAAGTTACAAATAACACTTGTGGGTCACATTACACACCGACTCAGTACTAGATTTTATTCACACAGATGGACTAACATTAACTAATATAGGATCTTAAAAAGATCTGGAAAGAATAAGTGTGTAATACTGAGATCCTCGCAAGAACGGGCCTTCCCACCATCTTTACAGTCCTCAGGCAACACTGCCTGCGCTGGCTCGGACATGTTCGCCGGATGGAGGACAATCGCATCCGGAAAATCATTCTGTACGGGCAACTTACGTCTGGCTCAAGAAAAACTGGTCACCCTCCGTTACGTTGATGTGATAAAAAGGGATTTAAAATCAGTTAACCTTGATACCGACCACTGGGAAGAGATAGTCTTAGACCGCACTAACTGGAGAGAGACAGTGACCAAGAAAGCTATGGACAGTGAGAAAACATGGGCCTCAGCTGTTGAAGAAAAGTGTGCCACACGGAAAATAGTCAGCTCCTCTACCACCAAAGCAAAAGCCACCTTGACCTGCAATATATGTGGACGGTAGTGTCTCTCCAAAATAGGGCTCCACAGCAATATGAAAAAGTGTTAGAAATAAACCATAGGCCAATATATATAGGAACATTAATATCATTAACATAGATAATTTGAAACAATTCATCTATAGATTTATAAATGCACATCACCAGCTTCTCTCTCATGCTATAACATACACAGTGTGCTATTGTCCAATCTCTTTTGTGGACATGTGGGGGGATGGGGTATCTGGAAGAAGGTTTCTGTAATGCCTTTAGGTGCTCAGCAAATACAACTCTGCTTGAGCCAGGATTTAAAGTGTGAGACCACCTTGATAGATAGTCTATTGGTTTATACCTAATTTATACCCACTCAGCCTCACATCCCTGCTTCATCAGTGGATCTATTGTTTTTCCATAGACAAAACAAAAACTCAAAAGGAATAAATCCCAAAACAAATCCCAGCATAGAATTTATAAACACTTTAATGTAATAAATCCAAACTTTTTAAAAAAATAACTTCTCAAATCTATATATTAGTTAAACCAACTGTCCTCAACTGCCCCTTCAATAAGTTGTGTACATTTTTATTTATTATGTTGATAAGCAATCAAACTCAAAAGATAAAACTTGACTAGGACCACCTCATCTAAATTCATCTACTTTTTTTTTTCTATGATGCCACAAGTTTAACAGTAGGCTATTCCCTTTTGCCCTTGCCTTGATCTTTTAGAATACCTCACATTTAGTAACTATGGTCTGAAGGTATTTTGTCACTAGTTGAGGATGAACAAAATTGAAACATGCTTTATACATTCTACACCTTCCTTCAAAAAAAAAGAAGATTGCCTTATCAAACAAACTTCCAGGAGGTGAGCAGTAAGGTTTTAAAACTCTGTGTATGAGACTAATAATCTACTGGTTTTTACAACAAAATAAAATTAGCATTATTTTTTCTTTGGAAATAAAGAGATGTAGTAGATTTAACCAACCTGATTCCTGAGTGCTGTATAGGGCATGTGTATCTTGGGGATGGCAGGTTTTCGTTCAAACTCTTCATCTTCCCAATAGTCTACATGTATGGGGTGTGAGGAATATCTTGAAGATACAATATAACAGAAAAAAAAATGGAATATCGAATGCACAAAGAAAATTATTTAAAAATGAAAGATACAAAGACAAAATTTTGTTGAAAGTGACATCATACCAAAACAAAAATACATAAAACAACATAAAAAATACTTAGACTTAAAGATAACAGCACATTTCTTATTCCTTATTCTAGGATAAGTCATAGTGTTCTTTCTTCCCTAGTGCCATTACAGCACAGTTGCCTGAATCAGCCAGGAAAACCAAAGCATGACATAATTTATTTGATAAAAGAATGTAATTTACAAGATAGAGATTAATATAAATTATTTTTATACAGGAAACATATCCCTGGTACATAAATAAAGAACTAACTGTCAATTTTTTTAAAGACTTAAATATTATTTTTTTTTTTTTTACACTTTGTCTACTTTTGAGTCAAAATCAGTGATTGTAGTTAAAAAAAACAATATAAAATTAAAAGATTTTTTTGTTCACAAAGCCCCAATTTAATTCTTTTTTTGTTCATTTTGTATCTCAACTTACTGAATGTTTCGTTATCATAAATGTGGTGCACTCATTTCAAATGTTATATCAAAATTTACAGCTTACATATTTAAACTTTTACAACACCATTGTTAAGTCAATACTACTTCATGGAGCAGAGACCTAGAAAACTACAGTCACAATCATGAACAAAAATTCCCATATTTATCAGGAAGATTCTTATCTGCTGGTCAGACAAGATCTCGAATAGGCCTCACTACATGCAACATTACAAGCCAAGCTCTCACCTGGAACTCACAAGGAAAGAGAAAGAGGGGACAGTCCAGGAATACATGGCCACATGATTTAGAAACAGATGCCAAGCAGATGGGCTAGATGTGTGGACAGTTGCCAAGAACCGAGATGCCTAGAGTAAGCTGGATCGTGGCTTATGCCCCAAGTGGGACAACACGCAGAGATGAGATGACAAACTTTTACAAGCTGTTACATAATGAGATTTACTTTGTGTTGAGCTAGTACAATAATTTTTAGTCTAGATCAAATTAAACAAATATCTGGTTATGAAGGAAGTCACATAAGCCATTGCTGAAGTTGCTGTTAAGTAAGTCAAAAATGTGCACCTCAAATAATGAAATAAAGGATGAGTTTGTGAAATGAGCATATTTTAAAATTGTATGAACTACAAGAAGTCACTAACCTGAAAGTGGACGACGATGAACCGGATCTCAACATGGTAGCTGCAGGAATTAAACTGCTGATAGA